GAGAGAGAGAGAGAGAGAGAGAGAGAGAGAGAATCATCCTCATGTCCAGGCAGGTAGACTTGCTATCTGCTTTGGGACGTCCAGTGGCTCCTGGGACTATGGAGGGCTCTGCTTCCTGAAGGAAGGCTTGGCCAGTAGGTTGCTCTCATTGCCCAATACAGTGTTATTTGCAAGGATTCCTGGAGATCATGTCACTGGAAAGATGAAGAGATGTTTATTTGGAGAGATTCTTACTCATCTTAGACCAGGTACAAGGTTGGGGAACTGGGATGGTGACAATCTGTTGGGGACAGTGGCCACCCTGCTGTGGGTAGCAAAGGCCCAGTGTTGACTAGATTTTCACTGGTATGGGATGCCTAGCATGACAATGGGTGGCACTGGGTACCCTGTAACCAGTGGGTCTCAGCCCCTTTGGGGGTCGAATACCAGATACCCTGCATATCAGATGTTTACACTACAATTCATAACAGTAGCAAAATTAGAGCTATGAAATAATTTTATGGCTGGGGGTCACCACAACAAGAGGAACTGTATTAAAGGGTCACAGTGTTAGGAAGGTTGAGAACCACTGCTGTAACCTATATGCTTCCTGACAACATGGCATTCAAGGAAGTCCCTCACATTTTCCATAGGGGCTAGGTTGTCATATTGTTTCCCTGAAGTGACCTTGCCCATCTCTTTGGAGGTTTTAGAAGTCAATGCAATGTCATGGTCTCTTAGGCTGCTTTCAAGCCTTTCAGGATGAGGGATTCTGTTTCATGAATAGGATCTGTTTTTCTTCCCTGGCTCTTTCTGTGGGCTTTCCACTAAAGTCTCTGCTGGTGGGTGTTGTTAGTTGTTTTTACTCTTACTCTTTGCCTTTTTGGGGGGCCTGCCACCCAGATCCCATATAAATCACACATGGAGTCTTATTATTTCTTATAAATGCCCAGTCTTAGCTTGGCTTGTTGTTAGCCAGCTTTTCTTGACTCTAAATTATCCCATCTAGCTTTTGCCTCTGGGCTTTTTCTTTTCTCTACTTCTGTAAATCTTTTCTTTACTTCTTACTCTGTGGCTTGCTGTGTAGCTGGGTGGCTGGCCCCTGGAGTCCCCCTTCTTCTCTCACTCCTAGGTCCTCTTGCCTCCGATTTCTCTTCCTGTATATTCTCTCTGCCTGCCAGCCCCATCTATCATTTCTCCTGCTTCGCCATTGGCAGTTCAGCTCTTTATTAGACCATCAGGTGTTTTAGACAGGCACAGTAATACAGCTTCACAGAGTTAAACAAGTGCAACACAAACGAGTGCAGCACATCTTTGCATCATTAAACAAATGTTCCACAGCATGAACGAATGTAACACATCCCAAACTAATATTCCATGACAAAAGATGTTTACAGGGCTGGAGAGATGGTCTAGTGATTAAAAGCACTGGATGCTCTTCAGAGGACCAAGATTCAATTCCCAGCACCCACATGATGGTTCACAATTATCTATAACTCCAGCTCCATGGATCCATTGTCCCCTTCTGGCCCCTGCAGGCATCAGGCACACACGGCACACAGTCATATACACAGGCAAAACACCCATACACCTAAAATAATAACAATAAAACACTTTAAAAACATGTGTCTATGTTTTTGCTATACAATTCCCATGAGAAAACAAATGACAACCCCCATTCAGTGACATGCAGACCAGCCTCCGAGGGAGTGACTGGCAGCAGATAACCCCCATTCAGTGACATGCAGACCAGCCTCCCAGGGAGTGACTGGCAGTAGCATGCGTGTGGTCTCCTCTGTGGGTAACATGGCCCCAAAGAAGAGGCGGCCAGCAGGAAACTGCAGAGGGAATCAGTGTCCTGTTCAGGTCTGGAATGGGCTTCAGAGAGCATGGACAGCTACAGAGAGTGTGTGTGGATGGAGCAATGCACGGTGTCACTTTTTGATCCATACAGAGGACATTAAGGGACACTGAACAATACACAGATTGTCTCTTTTCCTCCCTTAATTCTAAATATCCACCGATGTGCTCATGAAATCTGCACTTCATTGTAAGTTCAAACAATTTAGATAAAGATCCTAGAAAAAGCCTGGGGTCATGCAAACCTAAGTGGGGGGAGGGGTCTGGTATCTCTCTCTGTGCCAACCTTGCTCTCTCGACTCCAGATGCAGCTTCCCATAGCCTAGTCCCTGAGTATATCATGAAGCCATCCCACCCACTTCTTTTAGGCAGACACAGTACGAAGAAGCCCACTCGAGGGGTGATGTTCCCCTCCCCAGCCAAGCAGTACCTTCTCAAGGTGAGTACAAATGTCCACCACCAGAAGCTAAAAACTGGCCTTTTCAAAAATGGTCATTTTCTAGGCTCAGCTGTCACATACCCACCCTACAATTCCAGGGTAAAACCATTAACCGCTGGCTTCAGATGAGCCATCTGTGTGTGGGGCTACCTGTGGGGGAGGCCACCTGTGTGTGGGGCCACCTGTGTGCAGGTACACCTGTGTGTGGGTATACTTGTGTGTGGAGCCACCTGTGTGTGGGTACACTTGTGTGGGAGGCCACCTGTAGGGGGGCCACCTGTGGGGGGGCACCTATGTGTGGGGCCACCTGTGTGCGGGGCCACCTGTGGGGGGCCACCTGTGTGTGGAGTTTCAGGAACTGGCCACAACCCTGTAAGGCACATGGCAGGCTGTGTCCCCGAGGCTTCCCTCTCCTCTTATGAAGTGCAATGAAAATTTCTTTCATACAATTTTTTTTTTTTTAGAACTAAATGTGTTACCATGTAAGCACTGTACAGAGCCTGGCACACAATGCCCACAATGCCGTGCCTTGTCTCTCTTTTCTTTAGCAACGGTGACCTCCTGTGATCCTCTGGTGGCATTGGGCACTCATTTGCATGATGAAAAGCATGCTTTCCCCAAAGCTGATTTACATTTCCTGGGTCCCAGGGAGAGGGCTAAGTTGCAGGAACAGGGGTGTAGCTGTAAGGGATGATCTTTTGAAGCCTTTGGAGGTGATAGTAGGAAAACCACAGCCAACTCAGAAAGTTTAGAAGACATTCAAACCTCTAATAAAGACCCAAGGAGGAGAAAATGTGAATGATTCCAGGAGACTGATGTTTCCCACAATGCAACACTCTCCGGCTGTAGATCTAGCCACATGTTATCGATCAGATCTACAGCAACGTAACTTTCATGGGCCCAGCACGTAAAGACCCACAAAGCACCTTCCCAACCCCCATTAACACCCAGCTTCAGCCACGATGTCAAGGGTCCAGCGCTGAGGGAGCCACTTAGAGCGTTCGGTTTTTATCTCGGGACAGCTGGAGCCCTGCGGGACAGCTGGAGCCCTGCGCCACAGCACCACCTTTTCTGCTCTGGCCTCCACCCAGCACCCAGCTCCTGCAGTGTTCCTTGGCCAAGAGGGACTGTGCCAGCCCAGGAGAAGCAGCAGACCGGCCCCTCAAGCTTCGAGCAGGAAAGGAGAGCCTCCAGAGGATGTGGCTAAGAAGGTAACAAGCGCTCGATTTCCTCATGAGAAACGCGCTCTGGAATCAAAACGCTGTGGATGAAGCCTGGGGTGTGAGGGGGAGTGACAGGCTCAGGGAAAACCCAGCCGCTGCTTCTCTGACGTGGCTCCTAACTGGGTCACAGGAAGGTCTTGGGTGTGGGGGAGAACCAGGTCTTTATCCTGCATGGCAGGTGACCCTGCTATGGGACAATCTAGCCACTACCACATGTGGAGCTCTCCACCCCCTTCTGCAAAGTGACTGATAACCTCACTGTTTTTTCTGACTCGGTCCAAACATCCCTGAGACACGATGGCATCCTCGTCACTGAGCATCCCAGCTGTTCTCCTCGGAACACATCTGTGATATCCATATACTCTGTGGCAGGTGCTGACGCTGTCAAGCTCTACAGATGTCTGTGACCCCTGCTCCCTTGGACACCCCCAGTGGAAAGAATGGGAAGGTAAACACACCCTTCCCCCATCCTGCAGCGAGTCCTGAAGCAGAGACCTGAGGTGAGGCTGATAGCGAAGATGCTTCTAGCACAGTCCCTTTCTTGTCACCATGAAAGTAGACGTGACACCTGGAGCTGAGATGGCCATCTCATGACCATGAGCGGGGCACAGAAAATAGGCTCGGGTGTGCTAGGAAGCTCTCCACTGAGCTAAACAGCCAGCCCTGTGAACTTCCTAAACACAAAAATCATTTCGTATTTGCAGAATAGGTGCAGGAACACTACCATTTCACCCGGAGACAAATGAGAACACATTTGAATACTTCTGTGACATTGCTATGACAGGGACAGTCCTTCACGGAACCACGAACAGCTATTGGAATGAGTAAGCAGAGATGGACATGCTCCACCATCTAGCTCTTCCGTCACACTGGAGTTCTACCAGTCCCGAATCTGTCTGTTCCCGAGAAAGAGCGCAGTCAGGCCGCACACTGCACTTAGCGGTCTCTTTAATTTCCTCCATGTTGCCCCGAACACTTCTTCCGACTTTCCCTTAATTGGGCACTTCTGAAAATCTCAGTCCATGAATTTTATAGAAGTTTGGCTTCCCCCACACCCATGTAGACCCCAGCTTGCTCAGGACATCACACTGTGACAGTGGCATGTTCTGGGCATTGGGCTTCACTGGGTGGTACAAAGTTCAACTTACCCTCTTACTGGTGACATTTACTTTGATAATTTAACATGGCATTTGCTGCTCTCCCCACCAGACATTTTTATATTTTTTCTATGTGAGAAAATACTTTGAGAATATATGAACACCCCGGTTTGCATCAAACATTACAAATATAATTCATTCATTCATATCAGCAGGCACACTGATTCTAGTCCTTAAGTAGAGTATAATTTGTTATTATCATAATTTTCATCAAATTGTCCCAGAACAAGGCCAGTGAGAGACCCTTGAAGTAGGCTATGTGTCCCTCTGTCCTGCCTGTCCTTGTCTGTCTCTCTGGTACAAGATAAATCAGGCCATGGCCCAGTCCTAGTCCTGGCTTAATGCCGAAGGTGCCTTGACTCCTGTTGATGGGGGACTGGTCTTTACAAACAAGATGAGGCTCACTTTGAGAATGGCTTCTCAAATCACTGAAGTGTGCTCAGCCCCTGATGTGAAGGCCAGAGCTCCCCTGGGCTTCCTGAGTGGGTCCCGCCTGCAACCAATGAGGAGGATGACTGCAAAGAGGACCACAGGTACCACGGAGCAGTGTCTGTGACAGTCTGCATTGCAGGCAGAGTTGGGGCCTCACAGGCTGTGGTTGTTTGAATGTCATTGGCCCTCATAAGCTCATAAGGAGTGGCACTATTAGGAGGTGTGGCCTTGTTGGAGGAAGTGTGTCTCTATGGGGGTTGGCTTTGAGCTCTTCTATGCTCAAGCTATGCTCAGTGTAGAGATAGTTCACTTCCTGTTGCCTGTGGATCAAGATGTAGGACTCTCAGCTCCTTCTCCAGCACCATGTCTGCCTGCATGCCACCATGTCTCACCTTGATGATAATGGACTAAGCTTCCGAAACTGTAAGCCACCCAATTAAATTTTTTCCTTTATAAGAGTTGCTGTGGTCATGGTGTCTTTCACAGCAATAGAACACTGACTAAGACACAGGCTTTCTGCACACCTTGCTCAGGCACCTCTGCCCTGGGTACAGCCCTGGCTGGGACACTGAATTCCAGCTAGCATAGAGCTGAGAAGACCCAATGCTGTGAGCAAAGAGATGTATGTGTTCCCTGAAAAGGCCTGAAGAAGTGAGGAACAGGCCTGGCCTGGAGCTCTACCCACCATTCCTGAGAGTATGATGGGGCTCAGGGATTCTGTCCAATGAGGCCTTACAAACCTCTATCACTGTCCCCAGGAGAGAGCATCATGAGAGATGACCTTGTTGGACACTGCCAAGGCAGGAAAGGAAGCAGAGAGGCTGAGAACATGGGAAGTGTGAGGACTCCACACCGAGTGACCAGGCCCACCAATGTCTGTCTACACCACATGACCAGGTCCACCAGTGTCTGTCTACACCACATGACCAGGTCCACTGTCTGTCTACACCAACTGACCAGGTCCACCAATGTCTGTCTACACCAACTGACCAGGTCCACCAATGTCTGTCTACACCAACTGACCAGGTCCACCAATGTCTGTCTACACCAACTGACCAGGCCCACTGTCTGTCTACACTGAGTGACCAGGTCCACTGTCTGTCTACACCGAGTGACCAGGCCCACTGTCTGTCTACACTGAGTGACCAGGCCCACTCTCTGTCTACACCACATGACCAGGTCCACTCTCTGTCTGCTCTAAGAGCCATCTCCATGGCAGATGATAATAGCGGTCAGGCTGTCCTGAGACAGACGAATGGAGATGAGATGGAAGGGAAATAATGCTGCCTAGCAAGAAAACACATAAAAAGTGAGAGACCAAGGCTGCCAGACTTGTGTGAATTAAAAGAAAAAAGCCCCCTGGATAGCCAGCCCCTAGAGGTAAGAGATGCTGTTGTAGTGCAAATTAATGGGTGCAGCCGTTCACCAGAGAACACAACTTGGTGAAAAAAGTTGTGGATGAATTTCACCGTCCATTCCTCTCCTGTGCAGGCCATGTTGGTACAAGCTATACGACTATAGGTTTGATCAAATTATCACTGAGATAACTGCAGCTTTTCTTAACTTTCTTTTAGATTTATGTATCTTGTTTTATGTGTGTGAGTATTTTGCCTGTCTGTATATATGTGCATTATGGGCATGCTTGGTGCCCACAGAGGTCAGAAGAGGGGGTTGGATCTCCTGGACCTGGAGTTACAGATGCTAGTGAACCCCCATGTGTGTGCTGGGGACTGAGCGTAGGTCCTCTGCAAGAGGAACCAGTGCTCTTAACCACGGAGCCATCTCACCAGCCCCCGCTGCTTTTCTTGAGCATAGATCATATACCCTAAGAGTTTCATGGTCTACTTTGAGCTTGACCCTCGAATCAGTTGTTCTCACAGGAGGAGGAATTGTGTACTGCCTTGACACATTCCCACTGGGAGAGAGGAAGCACATTCTTGGTTTATGATGGCTAGACACTTACAACAAGCACATGAGCTCTGGAGGGGGCCACATCTGGTGCCACATGGGAAGGGAACATTGCCACAGCTTTGGGAATGAGGAAGAAGGCAGAGATGACCTCCCTTGGGTGTCTTAGAGGTGGAAGAGCTTTTCTGGACATGTAAGGGAAGAGCAGCTGCATTCCTCAGGCACAGGTCACACTTTCTGGGAGAGTCCTAATGACTGCCAGCCCGGGAGTGGCTGCCAGGCAGGTCTCAAGGCCCTGTGTGTTTCGCTTTTCTTATCCCCACCCTCCAATTCTCCGGTGATCTAGACTGACAGTTCTGTTTGTTGGGCTACTAGCCAGGACTTGCTCAAGAGGAAAATTCACCAGCTCCAAAGACCAGTTTTCTAGCTGCCTGGCTCAGCAGGCCTTGACTGAGGCTACACATGGAAGAGAGAGCACAAGAGTATTGCATGCATCTGTGAGGACATGCACACATTAGGGCCCTGTGGAGTCCCTGCGGAAAGAGTCCTTCCTGTGGGTGTTTGCATCAACGTACTCTTCCCTGAAAGTCTAGGAAACATGCTCCCCAGCTAGTCACCCCAATGGAATCACCACCCACTACCGTCCCTCTTGTCTTCTGGTTCACAGGAGGAGATTTTTTTTTTATTGAAGGAACAAAGGGCTCACATTTAATGACAGACCTAGCAGTGTGACCTAAGGGCCCAGTAGTTGACCTCACAGAAGAGTCATAAGGCTGTGACTCTCAGCTCCACTCTCTGAGGATGGAAGGTCACAAAGGACTTCCTCTTCAGTGTCCTCTGAGTCCTGAATATCCTCTCCATGATCCCCTGTCCTTCAGGAGTTCAACCCCCCTACTTCTCAGTAGCTCCGTCCACCCCTGCAGTGGTGTGGAGTGAGCAGGTACTAAAGGTGGAGTCCTTTCTGCAGGCTGCCACCACGCCTGTGCACAATCACCTCCTGTGCTGGGTAGTTTTATGTCACCTTGACACAAGCTAGAGTCATCTGAGAGGAGAGAACCTCAATTAAGAAAACACCTCCATAAGACCGGGAGGAAGGCAAGCCTGTAGGGTATTTTCTTAATTAGTGATTGATGGGGGAGGGCCCAGTCCACATGGGTGGTCCACCGGGCTGGTGGTCCTGGGCTCTATAAGAAAGCACACCAGTAAGCAGCACCTTTCATGGCCTCTCCATCAGCTCCCGCCTTCAGGTTGCAGTTGTTTTTGTTTGTTTGTTTGTTTGTTTGTTTGTTTGTTTGTTTGTTTTTTCACTCTTTTGGGGGACTGCCACTCAGCTCCCAAATAAATACATGGAGACTTATTCTTACTTATGAATGCCTGTTCTTAGCTTGGCTTGTTTCTAACCAGCTTTTCTAACTTAAATTATCATATTTCTCCTTAACTGCATTTTGCTTCTGGGCTTTTTACCTTTCTTTATTCTATATGTCTTTCTTTCCTTCTTGCTCCATGGCTGGCCCCTGGCATCCTCCTCTCCTTCTCTTTCTTTCACTCCTCCCCCTCTTCCTTAGATTTCTCCTCCTATTTATCCTCTCTGCTCACCAGCCCCACCTGTTTCTCTCTCCTGCCTTGCTATTGGCCATTCAGCTCTTTATTAGACCAATCAGGTATTTTAGGCAGACAAAGTAACACAGCTTTACAGAGTTAAAGAAATGCAACATAAAAGTATGCATCACATCTTTGCATCATTAAACAAATATTCCACAGCATAAATGAGTGTAACACACGTCTTAAAACTAATATTCCACAACACCAGGTTTCTACCCTGTTTGAGTTCCTGTCCTGACTTCCTTTGATGATGAGCAGTGATGTGGAAGTATAAGCCAAATAAGCCCTTTCCACCCCAGCTTGCTTTGGTCATGGTGTACCATTAGAGCAATAGCAACCCAAACTAAGACACCTCCTTTTGGAGTTGCACAATTCCCTACTCCATGAAGTCTCTTCTTCATATGGGGATATGGGCCTGGGAAAGGCCCCCAGAGTTTCAGGATGGCTTCATGTCAGGTCACCTGAAGCCAACTGGGTCTCCTCAGAGATGGAGTGCCATGGCCTTGACCCCAGGAATTATGAAGGAGATGCTCCCATGTTCCCCTGGAGTGGGTAGGGTGGGAATGGAGGGGTCAGCAAGGGTGATATCTACACTGAAGTCTGGCACCAGCCTCCCCGAATGAGAAGAAATGACACCTCAGAGACAGTGTTACCTGATGCAAAGGGGGCTGAGCTTGTCCTTGTCAGTATCAACTACCTTTAGTCTCAAGCCCTACATCAGTTGTTAGCTACAGGTGGCCTGGCTCTGTGTGTGTGTGTGTGTGTGTGTGTGTGTGTGTGTGTGTGTGTGTGTTAGTTTGGATGTATTGATCTCCATAAGTTCATAGGGAGTGGCACTATTAGGAGATGTGGCCTTATTGGAATAGGTGTGGCCTTCTTGAAGGAGGAGTGGCCTTGTTGAAGGAGGTATGGCCTTGTTGGAGTAGGTGTGGCCTTGTTGGGGGAAGTGTGTCACTATGGGGGTGGGCTTTGATGTCTCCTCTGCTTAAGCTAGTCCCAATGTCAGACCATTTCCTAGACCATTGCATTCTGATTAAGATGCACACACACCATGTGTGCCTGCATGCTGCCATGCTCCCCACCATGATGATAATGGACTGAACCTCTGAAACTGTAAGAGAACCACCCCAATTAAATGCTTTTCTTATAATAGTTGCCATGGTCATGGTGTCTTTTCACAGCAATAGAAATACTAACTAAGGTGGGGAGGGGGACCACACACCCCTGGAACTTTTTGTCCCTGAGAGTGAAGGTAACTCTGCATCCAAGGACACACTTTATGGGAAACTAGGTACAGGGTGCTCAAAGCAGAACTCTCAGCCAGGAGATTTGAGCATCTAGACAAAGGCTACCCAACACACCAGAAAGCTTGCTGACCAGGGCAGGACTCTCAGCAGAAGTTGAAGGCTCTGGTGCTGGTGACAGAGGTGGTCCGCCTGCCTGGAGATACAATAAAGTTCAGAGAATCCTGGGAGCTTCCCTATGAGCTCTCTCCATACCAAGCTTCAGTGGGAACAACAGGTTTTCATGGATATTCAAAGCTTCTCTCCCATATTTGTGCCATTTTCCTTTCCCATCCCACTGCTTCCTCTGAGCTTGTGATTTTCCCATCCTTTTGTCCTTTAGCACTTTCTCTTTGTGCTGGCTAGCCCACTCACACGGCTGTGGCATCCCTTCAGATGCACTAGGAGCACCGATTTTGAAATGGCCTTGGAATGATGCTCACCCTGACCTGCCAC